AAAGGGCCAATAAAGTGGCTACGAAAGAGGTAGAGTAGACTTCCAAGGTTCTGGGAAAGATGCCAGTGGTGAGAATCCTTAGGAAATCAATGAGCTTTATGGCAGGGCAAGATGAGGAGATTGTCCCTACAGTGTTGGAAATGCTACCATCAGAAGTATGGGCAGCGTCTGCAAATTCCTACAAATTCTATTATATAGCGACCTATAATTCCACAAGTCTCATTAAAGCCTCATCCCACCATCCTTTGGAGAATTCCGAGGCAAGGTTGGCGAGCTGAGCCCAACTACTGAGAAGGTAGCCAAGTTGGATTCAAAATGAGGCCCGAAATTGAGCTTTTGAAGAATGTAGAGACTTTTGATAATCATCAGAAACTTGCACTCAAGGCTCTAAAAAGGGCCAATTTTGGAGAACATCAACCTTAAGGACTAGGCTGGATTTTTAGAGACTTGATTATCCTACTATGTGAATACGTGTAGCAGGCTAAATCTGATGCTTTGGAAATAGGTGAAGAAGTGGTGAAGGACTACAATACCAACTTCTACTTGATAGAGGAGCATCAACTCTTCGATGCCTACTAATGGAGGTTCACTTACATCAAGGTGGTAGAGAGGATAAGGAACACTATCCAAAACTTGATGCTATCAAATTGATGGTAGAGTTTTTGGAAAAAAAAATACCTTAGACTAGCTAATGATGCGATGAAAGAGATAGATGGTATAGAAGTCGACCAAGAGGAAGCTCTTGATGAACGAACCTTCGAATTAAGAAGCTTCTATTGCTAAGGTGCCTACTACTAAAGCATCGGACTCCTATCCACCTTCAACATAGTATAAGACATTAAATTCTCTCTTCATGTCCCATGATGTTCAGCTTCGTCATGGGAGGTCAATGGTGTATATTTAGGATAATTAATAAGTTAGTCCCTTTTAGGATCTAATCATCCTCTCCCAGGTGCTCACATTTCCCTATATGGTGGATGGTTCATCCATATAAGAGCTTCTTCTATAACGTTCAACTTTGTCATCGAAGGCATGTGATGTACGCTTTGGAAAATTAATAAGGTAGTCCCTTTTGGGATCTGATCCTCTTCTCTGAGGCACCTACGGTTCCCATATAACAGATGGCTCATCATATAAAGATTTCTCTCAAAACTTTAACTTCATCATGGATGGTATGTGATGTACGCTTTGAAGAATTAATAAAGTAGTCCTTTTAAGGATTCGATCCTCTTCTCTGAAGTGTCCACACTTTTCCATATGATGGATGCTTCATCCATATAGAGGCTTCTCCCACGACGTTCTACTCCATCATGGAAGGCATGTAATGTATGCTTTGGAGACTTAGTGAGTTAGTCGCTTTTGGGATTCAATCCTCTTTCTCACATATTGGATGATTCATCCATGTAAGAGCTTCTCCCGTAACGTTAAGCTTCATCATGCAAAACATGTGAAGCAAGCTTCGAAAAACTAATGAGGTAGTCCCTTTTAAGATCCAATCCTCTTTTGCAAGGCACCTATGCTTCCCCGTATGATGGATGGTTCATCTATATAAGGGCTTCTCCAATGACGCTTGGTTCATCATGGAAGGCATGTGATGTACACTTCAGAGAATTAGTGAAGTAGTCCTTCTTGAGATCCAGTCTCATTCTCTGAGGCATCAAAAATTTTTCATATGTTGGATGATTCATCCATATAGAGGCTTTTTTCCATAACGTTTAGCTTCGTTGTGGGAGGCGTGTGATTTGAGAACCATTTTAATGAAACTTACTTTATTGAATCACTAGAAATATTTACATGGGTCGGAAAAAATCTTCCAGGTTTATAGTTAGTTCATTAGTGTATATTCTGAGGTGTTTTATATTCCATGAATGAGGTTTTATCTTCCCATCCAAGTTTTCTATTCTATAAGTGTCGACTCATAGTTCTTTGTTGATACAATGTGGGCCTTCTCAGTTAGGACCCATTGTATCTACTCTCGACTCCTTTAAGGAAACGAAGACTCTCTAAAGCACTAGGCCATTTATTTGGAAAGACCTCTTCTTAACCTTCGCATTGTATTAATGGGTCATTTGCCTTTGATAATATGTTGCCAACTTCATTTTAGATTCATTCTTCATTTCATCGAGGAAATCGAGCTCACTACCCACCTCATATTCTACATGATTCTCCACCCTAGACTCCCACATATCATGTCTCCTTACATTGGGAACTCCCCTACCTAAGTTGGCAAGCAATAGGTCTTGTCTTTGCATCCACGCCTCCTACCTATCCAACATATCCCTCACATCTTCAAATAACCTTTCAAATCGTCGTACCAACTCTTCCAACATTTTACTTAATTGTTATTCATGCTTGATGTTGAGTCGTCTCAGCCTGACATCCTAAATAGAGTAATACATAACTCATGTGTTTACACTCGTATATCACTCAAATTGGCTTTTTCTCTGTAATAGTCTCACCACTCGTACCTTTTCCCACGTAATACTTTCGCCCAAGCGCTTCAAAAAACTAATATGAACTCAACCAAGTTTTATTTTAGAAGAATTTAAACTAGGATGTGAGTAAAAATTTGTAATTTAAAAAGCTCAAGAAAGAAAGAAAAGAGACAAGCAAAGTAATTTGGACAATTTTAAATGGGAATCGGTATTAATTCAAGCACGTGGTTCTTGAATTTTGGGTTAGACAAGCCTCAAAGAATATGAATTCGTATGCTGCAGGCAATTTTTGAAATAATTTTTTTTTTGAATTCGGATTTTTATTTTTATTTTTGCACGGAAATTTAACTATGATACCAGCGAAAGAAACGTAAACTAATTTGGATGCTAAATGAATTTTTTTTGGAACTTTTATGAATTAAACACCCCAAAAGATGAAGAACGAGAAGAATGAAAGGACAAAAAACAAAAGACTTAAATAGAAAGGAAAAAAAAATATAACCTTAATTTTTGGAGTTCAAACTCTGACACCAACTGATGCATACCCACATAGCAATTAAAGCTATGAAACACACACGAGATTGAATCACAATCCAAGAAAGCCAAGAAATCAAGGTTTTGAATTTGATTCAAGAATATTGAACTAAATAATAAACAATCACATGCAATCTATTGACCTCTTAATCACAAAACTCAAAAACCTCACCCAGATTATTTGAGTGCCAAAAGAAAATAATTCTTGATAAGTTCAAAATTTGTTCAATGAAAAACAAGAAATTGAAAGCAAATATGCTCACAAAATTAATCTCTCAATTAATATGAATGAATGTTATATACATTGTAGAATAATTAGTCCTATATATGAAACTCATAAATCCCTAGTTGAAATGAAAATAAAATCTAAAAGATTACAAAGTTATCATAAAAATAGAGTTTTAATAAAAATGAAAGATATAGAAAAATTTGGAAAATTCACGTTCGGGGTTGAACTATGCGGTCGCATAATTTTTTTCTATGCGGTAGCATAAAAGAACCAAAATCCATCAGTTTGCTCTCGGTAAATAGGATTGTGACTGCGTCCCTTTTTAAGCTATGCCATCACACATGTTTAATGTGGACTCCTCTTCATTCATGTGTAGAATTTCGCGATGTTTCTGGATTATACTCATGGGCAAAAATCTGATAACGGAAAGTTATGTACGTTTTCATCCACACTACTTTTTCCTCATATATCTTCCAAAGCTTGAATCCAACGCACCAAACTTGATTCGCCTTCATATCCAACATGTAAGTTTTTATTTGGCTTGTTGCACACGAGTTCTTGGCCTCAGCATCTCAAACAACTCAGTCCTTGGCCACCTTTATCCTTCGTAGCTCTTGATTTTGTCTTTAATTTCTCTTCAAGTTGAGCTGGATCTTTGTAAGTTTGTTACTTTCCTTGGATTACGCCCCCGTTTGGCCCTCATTTTCTAGAAATGAAAATGGGTGGAATAGTATTTCTTTGAAAAATGAGTGGTTGAAAAAGAAATAAAAATTTTCGATTTACGTGTAATATTATTTCATGAAAGATTATGTGGTTAAAAAATAGGAGAGAGAAAAAATAAATGTAATGTAATGAAATTTAATGGAGACCAAACGAGGGTTACATCACTCCCCTTGTCTTCATGCACATTTTACATTATTAAATGTATAAATGTGATAGCTAAATTTACTATTGTATGATCTTGATATTTGACTATTATGTTTTATGTACTATTGCTTCTCATGACATATTTATGCACATCAATGCATCCATAAACATACTGAAGTTTCATGAATAAAATGTTCACAAATGTCATGACTCAATTGATGTTTTAAAAAGATATATATACCGAATATTTTGATTAAGAAGTGTATGTTTATGTCATGAAATGTGTGAGTGGAAAATGGGGCATGAATGACTGATGCACCCGACTAATGTTCAATGATAATGTTAATGTCAATTTTAACTGCCTTGCAGAACTACCAGTAAGACTCGACCGGGTTCCAAATAAAAATTGTACACTGCATTCTGATTGACTAGGCGATACACCAAGTGAGCTCACGACGTTTTTAGAGAAATGAAAGAAATGGCATATATATTAAAAAAGGATTTTACTTTAAAGTAATTCATACACATATCATAAGCATATATCACATACATGAGGTTTTGCTTACTGAGTGTTAGCTCATGCAACGATATCCCTCTCCATTTTCAGATGATGAAGGCACGATAATTTTAGACGATGACTTGTGCTGACACAGACTCAGTATTGACGTATTTTAATATTTAACACATTTTGAAATTAATGTTAACATTTAAATTAATTGTCTTATACCTTTATTAAGAAAAATTTATTTTCATGAATGAAATCTTGATGATTTGCAACTTGATCCTCAAACTTTTACAATTCTTCGTCTTTAGCCCATTAGGTCTCGTGAGCCAGTCTGATTCACATTTTTATAAGACGGTCTGGGGCTGTGCAACCGTATAGACCGACTCAAACTCTGAAGAGACCTAGACTAGGTTAAAATGTGGCACATCAGTTCAAATCAGTCCATCCATTTTGACATTGTTTCTCAGTTTCTCCAACAAACAAAATCCAGATATCTTCGAAGTATTCTAGGTGTAAGTTTGAATAACATGAAAACTGGACACAGCTTTTAAAATCTTCACCCAAGAAAATCAAAACCTTAAACTATTACAAATTTCAAACGAAAAGATAAGGTTGATCATGGCAATTCACATAAGAAATTCTTGACAATGTTGTTGAACTTTGCTGCATATTCAAGTTGAGGAACATGTGAAGTGTTCTTTATGACTTCTAATTTCGCCTTCTCCCCAAGCAATCTGCAAAGACAAACAAAAAAATGCCATTATTAATCACTTGTTTTATAACAAGTTTGTGTATTTATGTATGAAACACGCACTTTTTGAGTTCATGGGCTTTTTCTAATAGAAATATCTTGTCTTGTTCTCCCCATACAATCAATGATTCCTGCAAAAACCATTTAAAATTGATCAGATTTACCTAGAACAAAAAAATAAACAATCTCATGAAAACGATAACCCTGCATTTAAGATGTGCATGATGTACCTGTGAAAGAGGAGATATGTTTACTGTGTCATCTCGTCCGAGACTGAGTCCTTTCAAGAGTTCCAGCTTCTCCTTTCTATTATCAGAATACCATTTCTGTGCCCATTTGCAATCACTAATTAACATTATTTAATTAAAAAAAAAAACGTCATAATTTTCTCGTCCTTTACTTTCATTATTGAATTACGTTCCTGCGACTAATTTCTTGAGTGATGCCATTAAAATGTGGGTCATGAAAACTTCAATTAAACATCTAATGCTAAGACTTTTAGGTGAAGTTGGTGAAGACTCTGGTGGCAGTTAATTCGCCGGAAAATTAATTGGAAATGTAAAAGAGGTCCGTCCACTTTCTTACCCAACAACCAATTAACCCTCAATTAATATTTTCGTTTAGTGCACAGAGACAAAATCACCAATTTTATTTACAAATATATAATTCAGAAAATAACCTAAAACAACGTCCACTGAATTGAAACTCACAATATTGTATTTGAGAAAGTAATTAATTTTAGTACTTTTAATAAAAATAAAATATTATTCATCTCTATTAATCATTATACAAACATTAATCTTTTGATGGGGAAGGATTTATCAGTCAGAAAATGCAATTTTATGCTAATTAAATTACATTTTTTGAGTTAAAAATGAAGAATGTATAATCAGTAAGTAGAAAAACTTACGTCTATGAAGTCATTTAACAAGAAATCCGGCATATAGACACGCCGGAAAACAGAAAGGCCCATCAACGTCCGAAGCTGACCGGCCGTCGCGGGCAGCAATAACTCATCAATCCTTTCAACCTTCGCTCTTTTTAACAACTCATCGTTATCCCTCCACCGCAAGTTCACCCCGGAACTGGCGATCACCACCTTCTCCACTCTCTCCGGCCACTTCGAGGCCATGTGGTAAGCCACGAAGCCTCCGTAACTCGTTCCAACAACAGAGTACTTCTGAATCCCTAATTTTTCGAGAAGCTTCATTACACAAATCGCCTGGAAAACTTCTGACCTATCCGAGGATTTTGTATAAGATTCCCCGAAGAATAATAGATCGGGCACATATAGGTCGAATTCGCTGGAGAAAAACACGATTTGTGGACGCCATTGCCATATGCCGTGGGGACCAAATCCTTGAATCAGGATCAACGCAGGTTTAGAATTGGTTGTGGAGGAATTAGTGCGGTTGGGACCCCAGAAGTGCATGGAGGTGTCGCCGTCAATGTCTATTGTTTGAGAAGACAGGCCGGCGCTGGCGAGACAGCGGCGGAGGTAGCTGCCATACAAGGAGACGAGGCTGAGACAGGAAGCTACCATTGTATTTGTATCTGTACCCCAGAGGATCGAGGGAGGGAGAGAGGGAGGGAGGGAGGAAGATAACTGAAACAGGGATAAGAGAACGGGTTTCTGGTGTCCTTTTAAAACGTTAAATACTCTTGTGGTCACTCAACTTTTCATAGATTTTCATTTTAGTCACAAAGGTTCATTTTGTATCGAGTTAGTCACTGAACTTAAATTTTATTTCAAGTTGATTGCTCCATCTATGTACATTAATTTGATTAAAGGAAAAATTCATGTGACTATATACTTATTTGTAACTAACTAGCAATTGACACGTCAACTTTTAGAATTAGCAGTTGCTTATAAAATTTTATCTAAATGTTATTAATGCATAATTTTGTGCGATATGAAGCTTTACTTAGTCTATGTTTGGGGGATATAATGGTTAGATTTTTAGTAGATTTTGATAAAAGTTGATGAGATGTGTGGTTGAAAAGTTATGAATCCCATAAAATATGTAGATAAAATTAATTGTTAAATTTAACTTACATTAAAATTTAAATTTTAATCTCTACTAAACATGAACTTAGGATGTGTTTGATTACATTTATTTTCTATGGAAAATATCAGTTTCCACCCAAATTCCTACTTTGAGTGTTTGATTGCTATTTTTTTCCATGGAAAACATTTTCCAACTTTTGAAAATATGCATAATTTTCCTTGTTTTTAAGGAAAATATTTTCCTTGGGTAGAGGTGGTTTTTATTTTCCACAAAAGATGAAAAATATTTTCTTTTTTAGGTGATATTTTCCATGTCAATCAAACACACTCTTAGTGAAAGACTAACTTCACTCAAGATAAAATTGACAAGACACGAGATTTCATTAAAGTTTATAGTTCAGATATGTTATCTTGTTTTTGTTGTTCCTTAAATAAAAGCTTAACTCTTGTTTGGGCTCCATTTTATTAAAATTTGATTTTTTTTTCCTATTTTCTTTTTAACTATATATTTTTTAATAAAATAATATTACATGTAAACAAAAATATTTTTCTTTTTGTTTTTAACTATATATTCTTAAAAATATCACTATTCTAAATTTTTTTTTCCAAAAATACATCAATGTAGCCCAAAAAGGGGCTTAATGTATTACGTAAAATTTCCCCACTATAAAAGTGTAACTGAGTGTGTAAATTTTATGAGTAACGATGTTTGTCTAGATTCAAAGATGAGGAAAAAAAGTTGATTGACTTGGCAGCAGATGAATGGGTGTTTGTTGTTTTTATTTTTCAAATAGTCCAATCATAAATTGACATGTGTGTCCTTTATTTTTGAATTTATATTTTAGCCAATTTGTGTAGCATAATTCAAATTTTATGGAAGGACAACAGATGAAACGATAGATTTGAAGTCGTTTTTTAACCTTTTCTTCTCGGCCTCCAAGCATGTGTGAGATGATATCGTTGTCATTTTCAACATCTATTGCGCACGGTATCCGTAATAAATAAATGGGTCAGTTTTGTTGTTGGAAATGGTACCCTTGAAGTTACCAGTGGGCAACCTCGTCACCAAACACACTTTTTTTTTATAATTTATAATCAAGTTCATGCAGAAGCAGGTGCTTCTTGGTATGACTTCTCCAAAAAGAATTAATCAAACCACACAAATTCTAACCTACCTAGATGGTAATTACATTTTGGGTAATGAATTTAGCACCTTTTAGTACTAAAACACTATTCTATGACATCACATGTAAAAATCAATTAAATGAATCACGTAAAATTATTTAATTGGATTTATCATTTATTGTCGCTCATATGTCATATAGGGATAATTGCAACAGCGATCCCTAACCTTTCACATTTTTATAGACTTTACCCCAACACTCATTTTATACCAACGAATGTCCCTTACCGTAAAGGCCCAAATGGATGAAAATCGTGAGTTGCACAGTTAATTGACCTAATATATGGAAAAATTGGATATTTTGGCTAATTTAAACATGGATATTTTCGTCAATGACATATCAATAATTGAAATAATTAAATTAAAAAGCCAAAAGAATTTAAAAGCCTGCCCCACCACCACCAACAACAACCCTAAATACTTCATCTTCTTCAACAAACCCCCGTCCACCCCTCACGTCCTCGTCCATCCTGTGCAATGTTGAAGCTACTTTCATGACATCGCACAATTCTCCAATCTCTACTCTTAAATTCCAATATTAAACATATTCCCTCTTCATTTATCTCTCATTTCATCAGCCATAGTCCAAGCCAAGAAGCCTTTAGGGACAAAACTAGAAATATT